GGGGAAGGCAGAGGCACCAGGGTCCCGCAGCAGGAAGGGCAGAAAGCCCCAGAGCGGGCCAAGCGACAAATCCCTCAGCAGGAGGGGCAGAAAGCCCCAGAGCGGGACAAGCGGCAAATCCCTCAGCAGGAGGGGAGGAGAGTCCCAGAGCCGGGCAGGTGGCAGACTCCCCAATAGGAGGGGCAGAGAGCTCCAGAGCAGAGCACACAGAAGCTTCCCCCGTGAGAGGGGCAGAGAGCCCCAGAGAGGAGCTGCAACCCCCTCAGCCGGAGAAGAGAATAGCAGCAACGGCCAGCTGCAGGGCATTGGGTAAGCAGAGGCAGGCAAGGAGGCCGGAGACGGACCACGAGGAAAGAGAAGCTGGCAGAACATTCAACGAGGAAGCTCTGGATTATGGACCCAAAGCCTGTGAGACCCACAGGTCGAGTGCCGGGGCGGTGGTGCAGGGACACGACCCTGCTAGAGGGGGCCAGGACCTGGAAGAGCCCTGAGAGGGCACAGTCGGGCTGAGGCCGCCACCAGTCGGCCGTGGACAGAAACCTATAGGGGTACCGGAGAGATTGAGTGACAGATATTGCCCAAGGGGACCCAGGGAAGTCCGAATAGGAGGCCCCAGCCAGTAAGGGGCTGTGGGACCAAGCTTTAAGTTGCTTTCAGGTTTTGTTTCCCCGTTAAAGGGGTACTCCAACAGGAATAGCCGAGGGGGCACATTCAGGGAGATAGGGTCAAAGATACTTTAGTGGAGCCCTACCTGTGCGGGGACCCAGTGTCGGGCCAAACAGGACATGGGGAAGTAGAGGACGGGGCGAGCCAGCCCACGAGTAATCCTATAAGGACAGGGCAGGCTGAGGGGAGCTACCAGCCCATCAGCAGGAGGTCAGTCCCACAAGAGAGGGGAGAGCTCGAGGTGGTGTGAGGCCGGGCTGCATGGGTGGCGGAGCCCCACAATGTGACCGCTGAGGGATCCCAGGCCGCGGAGCACCCACGAACCAACCTTAACTGAACCTAACAGCAAGTCGTGGAGGGCGAGAACTAAGGCGGGGACTGGATGTTAAGAGACCTACTCCGAACCCGTAGCGATCCGGTGTGACTAGTGGCATTCCCCTACCAAAGGCGAACCTCCTCCGGGGAGGGCCCTAGTCCGGCGGTCACAGTTAGTCTCTAGAAAAGGTGTTGCATTTGTCCCTGGATAGGTTATACCTGTGTTTACCTGGGAATATAAATACTGTGGGATTGCTGTGTACATACACCACCTTCCTAATCAGGGTTTAGTAAGCATGTAAATGCAGTGCTGCTTTTCTGCCATTGAGTCAATGGTGCAATCCCAGGATAACTGTACAGATGTACTTTGCAATATCCCGGGATAAACTTTCACTACCTCTTATCCCTGGACAATGGACATGATGGTCCATTGATGGTCTGAAGAGGCTACAGTTTGTCAGACTTACCATTCTAGTCAGTCAAAGAAACTCTTCTAGTACCCAGCTGCACTATGTCTTGATCCTACTGGTACACATACGTCTTTTGCTTTCTGAGCTTTAAAATGGTTGTACAGTTGTAGTCTCTCCTGGGATAAAATGGCTTATCCTGGGACAACTGGGACATCTGTTTGCAGGCTAAGGTGCCACCCTATCCTATTTTCTGCTGATTTTAGGCTAAACTTGCTAATTGCCTATCTCTAGTCAGAGCAGAAAGGGGAAAGCTATCTTCATTATCCTTCTAAGAGATGAAGTTCTAATTTATAACAACCTCAGTGACTCCTGTCCTTTGTAGCTGCCTATAACTAGTGGGTGTCTGGTAAATTTTTCAAACTGCAGATGTAAAACTGTCATTGACACGCTCACATGTTAAGTTAGGCACTTGCTAAGTGCTTGCAGGACTGGAGCTTTTAACCGCATGACTTTAACATAGCATCAGCCTGTATTTCTCCCCCTCCACACCAAATTATTCCAGAGAAAAGAAAAATCCAACAGCACTAATACAGCTATACTAGTTTCAGTCAGTTCCCAAGCATGTTAAGAACCAAGTTACCTTAAAAAATAGACTCATGATGCAATATCCCATTTTACTCTTATAGTAAATTATCACTGCAAGGTAAAATTCAGGATTCTTGGATATAGCGTATTCTTGCAGCGCAAACAGAATAGAAAACAAAAATGTCAATAAAGTAACATGCTATGACCAAGTACGCACAGATGTTTTAGTGAACAAGGTGCTTTCACATAGTGGTTTTATGAAGATAATTATGTTTGAAGTATTACACATTTTTTCAAAACTTTGGAAAAGGAAGTGATCGGATGCTTGGCTTTCACTGCAGCAGAATGCAAGTGTTAAATAAGGAAACAGGTGGCTTATTTTCTCTTTCAGTTACCCCCAAGTTTTGAAAAACCTCACTGACTTGGGAAACAGTTCTGCACTTACACCATCCTTGTTTTTCTTCAGGCTGTATACAACAGTTTGTTTACAAGACAGCAGGTTGATACTATGGTGACAGGGACTACAAAAGGACTGGATTTCAATGAGCTAGTGAATAAAGCTAAGCCTGTATTCTTGACTATTTGTAGAGTGATAGCCTGAGTAACTATACAAAGTCAGGAAGTTGTTTAGTTTCTTATTTTCTGCAAAAGCAAAGATTATCTGGGGAGAGATAGTAATCCATGAGAGATTTCTAGAACCGTCGTTCTCAACCTTTTTATATTGAGGCACACCTCACTGAACTTGAAACACTCCGCCATAACTTTTGTGAATGGAGTGGCACCCAAGTTCAATTTGAGGGGGGCCATAAAGGGCATATAACTGATTGGTTGGGACAACTAAAGATGGGTCATAGGTCTAAAATGAGTGCACTGAGGAGAAGCAGAGAGCAGAACCCACTGGCCAGTGCCCACCGGCCCTCAAATGAGTCCATGTGTGACAGGCCTATTTCACACATATTGGGGACATGGGCCTTGAGCCCACAGAGCAACAGCCCCCTCCCCCCCCGTTAATAGTGGGAACTACTGGGTATATATCAACTGAATTCGTGGAACAAACAAAAGACAAAACGGGCAAGAGTGAAGGTTATAGGTTCAAATGAGCACCCTGGAGGGGGACACAGAGCAGAGCCCACCAGCCAGCACCCGTTGGCCCCCTTAATGAGTCCATGTGTGACACAGACCTGTTTGCTAGTTTCAACGGATTGTGGCCAATGCCCAGAAAAACTATAAAACTCCTTGAAAAAGGGAGGTGACTGAGAAACAGATTTCTTGGCACAAAATAAAAAGAAAACAGGGAAGGGAGTGACAAAATAGGTTTGAAATAAGGGATCAGGAAGGAGCCGCAGAGCAGAGCGTACCAGTTGGTGTCCACTGGTCCTTGAATGAGTCCATGTGCAACACAGGCCTATTTGTTGCTTAAAGAATGCTGGTCAGTGCCCAGAAGGAAACAGCATAAGCGTCCCTTAGAAAGGGAGGCCACTAGGTAGACAACAACTGATTTCTGGGGACAACTGAAGATAACTGAAGATAACAGGGATGGGAGTAAGGTCAGAAGTTTAAAACTAGTGCCTAGAGGGGACACCAAGCAGAGCATGCTGGACAGCCCCCACTGGTCCTCGAACAAGCCTGTGTATGACACAGGCCACTTTGGGGATTCATGGGCTAAAGGCCCACCACGGGAAACTATAAGCCCCACTCAGAGAGGTGGACTACTGATAAAGTGGCAACTGATTGCTTGGGACAAATGATAAAAAACAGGGATGGGAGTGATGGTCAAAGGTTAATAACTAGTGTGCCAAGCGGGAGGGAATGGGGCACTGGGCAGAGCTCACAGGATAGCACCTGCTGGCCCTCAAACAAGTCCATGTGCAACACAGGACTTTTAATACGTCAAGGAGAGTCATGGGCCCAGGCCTGCTGAGGAAACTATAAGCCCCCGTTAGTACGGGGGGCAACTAGAAGCCCCCATTAGTATGGGGGGCCACTAATGACATGTTACAGATTATTTGAGATAAAAATGATGAAAATGGGGACAGGAGTAGAAGTCAGAGGTTCATAATGATTGCCAAGGGGGGAGACTGAGCAGAGCACACTGGACAGTGCCCACTGGCCCTCAGACGAATCCACGTGTGACAGGCCTTTTAACACGTGAAGGGATTTCATGGGCCAGGCCTGCCAAGGAAACTATAAGCCCCCTTTAATACAGGGGACTCTAGTGATGAGTTACTGAATGCTTACGACAAATAATGATGAAAACAGGGACAGAAACGGAGGTCAAAGTTTCAAAACAAGAGTGCCAAGGGGGGACACCGAGCACAACACGCTGGACAGCACCTGCAAGCCCTCAGCCGAATCCAGGTGCGATATGGGCCTATTTGCCATCCTTTAAAACACGTGGGTGCAGTCTACCGAGTTGGTCATTGGCCTCCCTTAGGCAGGGAGGCTGCAGGAAAAGGGGACAACAGATTTTTTGGGACAAATGAAAAAAACAGACGGGAGTGCCAGTCAGAGGGAAAACAAGTGTGTCAAGCAGGGGCATGGAGCAGAGCACGCCAGACAGTGTCCACAGGCCCTTAGCTGAATCCAGGTGTGACACAGGAGACTGGCGAAGACAGAGGACGGGTTGGTTTCCTACATGGCACTTCTGGTGTCCTTTCCAGCCTGCCAGTTGGAGGCAGAATGCACTTTTTTTTTTTTAAAGAAATGTTTCATGTTCCAAGCCGAATCAAGTCCAAATCCACGAGTCAGTGCAGAACCACAAGCGGCCCTGCAGCCAGCAAACATCCTCCACCCCTACCAGGGGCTTCAGATATTTCCAAACTCTTTTAGTGGGCATCCTATGTGCAGGCCCAAGCCAGGAGGCATGGGGTTCACATGCGCCCAAGCTTTGCCTGCCCTCAGCCATGTGGGCACAGAAACAAGCTAGGGAGGAGCCTCCCATTTCCAGAAAGCAGGCTTTAAGCCCCAACACCTCGAACCAGGCCAGAAGAACAGTTATCCCCTGGAGGGCGTAAGGAAATCTGTCTTCATGGCCCCAGATACATGGTGAGGAGACACCTCAGCGGGTGGCAGAGGCCGGGGCCCAGCTGGCACCCAGGCAGGATGCTGCCTTCGGGGTGAGGCGCTGCAAGGCCCGGCGCCCGCGGGCGGCTCGCGTGGGCGAAGCAGGGGGCAGGGCGCCGGGAGCAGCCGCAGGGCTTGGCACGGCTC